GGAAAGAGGGCAAATGAAAGGGTTGTTGAATTATTGGGAAAATAAAATTAAATTCAATCTTGAGAAATTTCAGAGAGAGGTCACGGAATGTGAGGCATGGTATTTATACGAGGAAGGAGAGTGAAACCGCTTGGATGTTTCTGCGTAACAGTGACCACCGGCTATCATAGGTTTCAGTACCCCAATTATTTATTTCACGTTGGTATTTGGTCCAGGTTCAACCGGTCATTCTAGATTCTCCACCCTTAGCCGCAACCACAATCCAATTATCCTTTTGGCTCCGTTATTATTATTATTATTACTATAAAATAATAAAACGTTTATGAAAGTCCTGTCTGGGAAAACCGTTTCCGGTTCGGTTTTCGCATCGTTTGTCATGATTTCGGTCCAATCTATTTTTGTCTTTGTTAAACCGGTATACATCGTTTGGTTTGATTTCGGTTGCTTTTTTTATATGGAGTTATTCTTTCTTTATTTTTTAGTTGTATTTTTCCATTATTTTATATTGAATAATTAGGCTGATGCAAAATATTTAAATATATATCCCTTTGGTTTGGTTTGCTTGTGTTGGGACTATATTATTAATTCAAATTACTGTCGTATTGGAATTTTAAAATTAGGTTCGTTCTTTTTTTCTCTCTTTCCATTGACATAGTACCATATGTCCTATAGCATCAAGTTTATCAGATTAGAAAGAATGTAACATGATATTTTGATTATGATATATATATATATACACACACACGCAAATTTCAAAACTCTGAACAGTTTTGGCTCTTGTATTATCTTGCCATTCGTTTATTTAATCACATTTTAAGTTTACATATTATCTCAAAATTTTCGAACTCTTAAAAAATAAAAGACCTTAAATATTTATGTATTTGATTTAGATTCTAAAATTACCAGATTACATGTGGAAAGAATGTATGGAAAGAAATTGAGTCGATAAAAATCGTTTTAGAAAACAATTAAGTATAATAAATTTGAGATTTAATATTTATATACTAATATTCTTAAGATTATATTCATTATATTAAATCACGTTGATTGGTGATCGTCTTTCTAAGATATATGACGTGGGGTTCAAAAGTTTGTTAGCGTTAAAATGTGTGATACCAACGAAGATACAACATCATCTTTCTCTCGTTCAATGGCATATACGTCGTTACTTGTTTTTAAAAATGTGAAAATAGTGTTATAATATATTTTAATAAAAATAATTTAAAAATAAATAATTACGATAAATATGAGATTTTATAATAATATCTTAAAATTGATATAATATATTTTGAACTTATATTTGTTATGTTTATTATTTTTAATAAATATATTTAGTAATTATATTTGCACATCACATGGCATAACATGAAAATTAAAAATTGATTACCATTACAAATATGTGACTCCAATAAATATATATATTTTTTTTCACTTGAAAACATGAGAAATACCGAAATATTGTGTACCAATAATAACTATTAGAAAAACGATTAATATGATGAAATTATAATTTATCGATAACATTTTAAATATTTAAATAATATTTTAAAATTACATTTATTATTATTATTTAGAATGTATATCCACATGACAAAATGGGCTTATTAGTCATGTAGCTTATTATTATTAATCAAAAAATGGGCCTGCTCTAATTAAATCACATTTTCATTTGGTCAAAAATGTCTAACATTTCTTCATAAATTTTAATCCTCTGTCAAATTTAGCCAATTTCAAATATTTGGCATCATTGAGGTAATATTTTTTTTTTCCAGATCACATGTTTTTCAAATTTTTACAATTTTCCACTAAATTACTATTATATATACATGTAATAGGTTAGATTTTTATAATTTGTCAAACTTGATTCGAATTTTGTAAATTTGATTTTGAAATTATCATTGGCATGAGCCAGAATATTAATTTCGCAAGGTTACAAAAAAGGTTGGTATTTTTATCTCTTTATTTTATTCATCCCAATTTCTGTACGTTCGTAAATTTAAATTTTCTCTTTTTTTTATATAAACTAATTTAAATTGATAAACTCATATTTTTCAAGTGGTAAGCTCAGCTGCTAAACTGAATTAAACAATTTTAAACCCAATAAAAATCAGAGTAACTCTTTAAATCCAATAAATTAATAAATCATTATTAACGTTTCTCCACTGTTTAAACCCCAAGAAGCATAAAGCCCACGGCGTGAAAAGGGTACGATTTGAACGTTTTCCCACTGTTTGGACTCCAAGAAAATGGCTGAAATTTTCTCGGAAAGAGAGAAAGTTCACCGATACGTGGCAGCCTCTCGGAGAAGCCGAGTTATCCGGCGGTGGAGTTACCGGCGGGGGAGTTCCTGTCGCTGCTTCAGCACCGAAGCTATGGATCAAACACCGTGAGTTTGCTCTACTCGAAGAAACTTTCCTTACAAACAATAAAATTTCTGGGTTTTGCATGAATTTGGTTGACAGTATCCTGCTCGAACACATTTGATTTTCTGAATTAGTATTGGACTATTTCCAATTCTTCTCGAATTTCTCTGCGCACTTTGATCTACTATTGGAGTTACCGGCGGAGATGTTCCTGTCGCTGCTTCAGCACCGAAGCTATGGATCAAACACCGTGAGTTTGCTCTACTCGAAGAAACTTTCCTTACAAACAATAAAATTTCTGGGTTTTGCATGAATTTGGTTGACAGTATCCTGCTCGAACACATTTGATTTTCTGAATTAGTATTGGACTATTTCCAATTCTTCTCGAATTTCTCTGCGCACTTTGATCTACTATCTGTGAATTTTTCTCTCCGTTCTTCAATGATTCAATCCAAATTCTAGTTCTGGGGAAAAAAACCCTAGGGAAAAGACCATAATACCCTGATGCGACGTTACCGTCGTAATTTTTATTGGTTTTATTTACTTATTACTGTTCTTCGTAAATATCGACGTGTACATCAGCGCAACGAGTTTAACAAAAATTCTAGGGTTTTTACTGGAAAAGAAAAAAAGGCATACCTCTTTCTACTAAAAACAAAAAGGAAAGAAAGAGAAAACAGCTGCAGAAATCGAAACAGGACATTAGCCACTCGTTCCTTGAATGAAAAATTAGTGTAATTAGTGAAGCTGGTGTATTTTCCCTCTGCAGTTTACTTGGGAATTGGAGAAGATTAGCAACTGATTGAGGTAATTAACTTAAACTACGCTTATAATGTCAGTTGGCGAAGGCAAATTGAATTCTATCAAAGTCGCTTTTTCCTTGTTTTAAGTAAAATCCCTTTTCTCTCTGCTTTTTAAAATCTGTTCTTTTTTGTTCAAAGGTCTAAACTTTCACCTCTTTTTTTCGTTTCTGGCTTTCGGGTCGACCCTTTTTTCTCCCTCCGACAAGGGCTGGTAAATTGATTTTCTTAATCACCCACATTCCGAAGGAAACCCATACTTTTTTACTATGTGTTAGGTTTCAGCTTTGGATTTCTCTGGAATTGAGTGTTCCAGTTCTTCTGGTAATTGTTTACTTGCTTTTTTATCTTTGTGTTTCTTTCTGTTTCAGTATGCCCTTGTGGCCTGTGGGTCATGGGTTGCTCTTATTTGCAGCAGAAGTGACTTCGTGATCAGACTAGGTTTAATATTTTACCCATCCCAATTGGTTGATTTTGAACTTGAGGCTATAAAGTTTGCAAAAACCGAATTGGTTCTTTTCCTTGTTTGATCAAAGTACGGGTTTTTTTTTGTGTTGTACTTTTCTCGTTCTTAGTCAGTTCTTGGAATCTTGTCTTTAGGTTCCTTATTTCTCAAGTTTGTTGGTAATATTTATGTCTTTGTTAACATAGTATCTGTGGGTAATTTATATGAATGCTAGTTAGATTTTGTATTTTACTTCTCTGATGTACTGAATTTGTTTCTACTGTAGTTTCTTTGTAACTTGATCTGTGATTAACTCGGTTTCTGAGAACTATTGTCATTTATAACGGGATTGCGATGCTACATGCTCAGGGGACAATGGAGGTTCCAGTGCCCAATTGCGGGTTCTTTGTTTACAAGAGGAGAAAGAAGAGTTCTGAATTTGACAAGGGAGGGAATGAAAAAGAAAAAGAATCGGTTTTGGTTCCAGGCACACCTGTTAAGCTGCAAATAGCCAAAGTCTATGCTAGACGGAATTCCATCAAGTTTAAAAATCGCTGTCCTTCAATGTCCCTGGCTTTAGAAGCCACGACGAGCAGACAAAAAGATTCTCATGCCTCGAGTGCTAAAGAGCCGAAGCAAGAGAAAGATCAGAGTTGTAATGAAACAGGGACCAGTTGTGTTAAGGTTGCAGATGATGAAGGAAACGTTTCAGTGCGTTTTGATATCGTCAGCTTGAGTTTTGAGCATCATAATAGAGTTGATGAGAAAGATAAAAACGCATGCACCGACAGAGAGGCTGGTGATATGGTTTGTTTCACTAATAAGGAATCGAATAACGTCCTTGGTAACTCTAGTAGTGGGAGCCCAAATTCACTAGGTTCTAGTTCTGCCAGTAATATCATGTTTGAGTCACAAGACATTGATGGTCCTGCTTTGGAGCACGCTACATATTTTAAGGAAGAAAGAGAGGTTTATATAAGTGAGAAGTCTTCAGATAAAGGCCTTGATGAAGTTTGTACCTTTAATAAGGAGTCTGTCAAAGAGTTGAGTCCGGTTATGCCTAAGGTTGATCATTTTGACATTTCTTCAAGTCCAGTTATGAACAATGATAAACAAGAGATTGAAGAAAACAATTTTTTCCCTGGAGATCATGGTTTTGTACTCTTGCAGAAGAGGGCTGAGTCAGAGAAAAATCGTTGTAAGTTTCATCAGTTTTGACTTTACAAATTTAATCACTACATCACGTTTAAATCTCAAACTTCTAAACTAGCTTATCTTTTATCTGATAAAGCTGCAAAGGGCCCTGAATCAAGTGTAACTGAAGGTAATAACACAATCACTTCCCTTTTCTGTAGGCTCAAAGAAGGTGGTTCTTAATAGTGTTCTATTTTTAGAAATCTAAACTTCAATCTTGTAAGTTGTGTATTAGAGTTCCTAAATTGGCATAACTTGAATTAAGTTGAAAATCACTTTTTATCAAACATTACTTTATTTTTCATATTTCTTTATTTTTTTTGTGACAAAGATGACCATCCTAGAAAGAAAGAGGAGGATTCACAAGGTGTTGGTGAAAAGGAAGGTATTAAAGATTCAAGAACGACACCAAGAAAGAAGGTGAAAAAGAGGTCGCTTAGGCCAAGGATCATGGTTGATGGTAAAAGTTCAAGGAAGACTGCCAAGGTCAGCGTGACAAAGCCTGTCACTTTGCGCAAGAAAACTGTGTCCGGGAAAAGAAAGAAAAACGAAGCAGAAGTTCTTGTTGGACCTGACACTCCCGGGAAGCAAAATTCTTCAAAGAGAAGAAAACTCGAGAAGAAGAGCAAACACGAGTCAATTATTGAACCTGTAACTCCGAGTTCTCTTGAGAGTGGGATGGGTGCGAAGAAGGTTGCTGCATTTGCTAACGTGGCTCGAGCTTTGATATTTGACCAGGAAAGTCAGCCAGGAGAAGATAATCTTCTCACTCCGCTTGTGCATGTAGATGGGCATGTCAACCCCAACTGTAATGAAATTGCAAAACTTAGCTGTGCGGCAGAGCAAGTTGTTATTCTACCTGACGGTGACTTAGTAGGAGATCCGAATTCTGCCTCGCTGAGGAAAGTATTGGAAAATAGGTTAGGAGGTCAGAGATCAGAGGTATCAAAGCAAAATCTGTGTCTTGATTCCAGAAAAAATCTTGGGCCGAATTTTCCAGAACTGAACAAGAGAAGGAGGACAATTAGGAAGCCTAGGGCTGATTTCCTCACTTTGATTTTTGACATTTCATCAGCCGTTCAGGAAGCAAAATCAAGAAACTCCAACGGGAAACGTAACATGTCTAAATCTAAAAGGCTTCTTGAGTTCACTTGGAAAAAACGATCAAAGAGGTCTGTCCGTGTCCGGAATATGAGCAAGTGGACTGAAATTTCTCTTTTCAATGGGTTGCCAAAAAGAGGCCTAGCCTTACTAGGAAGCCGTGAAACGAAGAATAGCCATGCCAAGGGAGTTCCAAAAATCACCTGGCTTACCCAAGAGGTTCAAAACAACAAAGCCAAAGAACCTATCTTATTGCATGATAATGGAAGCCAATCATTAGGCTTCACTGCACTACAGAACTATGGCTTGGTTCAAAATATTGGTCAAGCATCTTGCTGCAGAATAGAACCCTATCCATTGGGGCAGCATTTGGAGCGTTCATTTTCTCAAGAACATCATCAGTTTGTCCAGGACACTCTTTGGCTTGCAAAAAATGGTTCTTCCCTGGAGCATGAAGGTACTATCACAAATTTAGCATTGTATTACCCTTTAGGAATTATATTGCATTTCCACTGCATCGTATCTTTTAAAAATAAAAATTTGTTAACGCCTCTTGTAGCTGCTGGGAACTTATATCAGAATAAGTGTCTTCTGATGTGTAATGGAGAGGTTTCCCCACAGAATGAAGGTCGTAAACTTTCTGCTAAGCCGGAAACCAATGCATCAAATTTCTTCCATTAGCAGGCTATTTGGCATAATTGAGATGAAGCTTGTTGAATTTTGGCATCCTTTCTGCTAACAAAATCAACTAAACAGTTTCTTATTCTGATGCAGATGCTAGAGCATTGTACAAGAACCAACTTCCGTTGAGGCTTTACTTAAATCCTGCAGAAGTTCCATTGCAGTTTCAAGGTACTAAGTCCTTTATTTTCCCAACAGTTTGAAAGATTTTCGTGAAGTAATGTCTTATACTATTCTATTGCAGGTATGCATTTAGTTTACTCTTTTTGATCTTGTAATACTGAATATAGCTTTTCCATATCCTTTGCAGAGACACGGTTCTTATATGAGAACTTTACGAGATCTTTCAATTTTGTGCCCTCCATGACCTACTCGGGTTTTTTACACTGTGATGGTTCTAAAGAAACCGAGGATATGAAGCTGTTAATCCAAAAAATGAGAAGTTTGGATATCAATGGGAGGGCTATGGATCTCAGTGTAACAGTCAAAGCTAACAGAAAACAGGTTAGGAAAAAGGGAAAGGTTCCCAATTCTGAGAGGCAACTCATTGTGCCAAATCATGCTGCTCAAGGTTCTAATATGCTGGTTCCTTATGAGGAACAAGTGAAGCAGAAAGTGAAGGGAAAGGTTCACCTTGATCTGGAGACCGTTAAGGAGTGGCAGTTCTTAATGATGAACGACCTTCCAGGTGGACCAAATGCAGATGAGGAAAGAGAGGAAAAATGGGAGACAGAAAGAGAATTCTTCAGGGGTCGTGTGGACCTTTTTATAAAACGGATGCATCTTCTGCAAGGTACACATTGTTATTAAACATAAAAAGATTTAGAAGGGACATAATTCAGTTGATGCTTTATCTCTCTTCTGGAAAAAGGCATACCGGAATCTGTAAATGGAATATTGGATATTCTGAATGTTTGAGCTCGTGTCTGGAAATTAAGGTTTTGATAATACACACACACACTCCGAGAGAATCAGGGTTTATGTGCCTTGCCACATAACTTCTGAGTAAGTCTAGAAAAATAACGGAAGACCAGGCTGAGTTCTACTAACGTAATGCCATGTTTTCCATTTGATCTACAATGTTTTATCAATCGGTTTTTCAGTTTTTTTCTTCTAATAACTACTATTGTGCAGCTGATAGGAAGTTCAAGCAATGGAAAGGCTCAGTTGTCGATTCAGTGGTTGGAGTTTTTCTCACACAGAATGTCTCTGATAACCTTTCAAGGTAAAATCTGAATTTCCTAAAAGATTTTAGCCTTTTTATTTGAGGTTGGAACTCAATAACATTAAACGTTTTTATTATCTTCTTCAGCAATGCTTACATAAGCCTGGCTGCAACATTTCCCATCGAGGAAACAGAAGACACCGAGTTTGTTGATAATTCTATTGGGCAATTTGAGACAGTGGTAAATTCAGAAGGTCTAACATACTTCATTGATGTACCTCCAGAAGAAAACAAGGACGGGTCGGAGGTTAATGATTCTGTTGGTGAGGACCAAGGATCAACTCATGTAAGCACCATGACTCGTAAAGATATCAATACAACCTTGTGGGAAGAAATAAACCGTGGTGGATGTAATGCAATGCTTTCATGTGATGAAAACGGAATAGTTGAGGTTGAGCATGAAACATCAAAGAAGCACGCAGAGTCTGAAAATCAAAGATCGAGCTTTCACAAAATGAACGATGACTTAAAGAGTTCATTTACTTCTATCTCATCATATGAAAATGAAAATTTCCTGAATATGGAGGAAATGGAGAGATTGATACCTGTGGAAGGTCAAGGAAGGAAAACACCAGCGGTGAAAGAACCACAGAAAGCTACTCAGAAAAGGAACAAGAAAACTGGTGTGATGGAAGATGAGAAAGTTGACTGGAAGAGTATTAGAAGAATGTATACAAAGGAAGGACCTCGAGACAGAAACCAAAAGGATTCTGCCGATTGGGATGCTGTAAGAGTATCTGACCAAGGAGCTGTTGCAAGCGCCATCAAAGACAGGGGGCAACAAAACAATATTGCAGGGAGAATACAGGTAAGGTTTCTCAAGAACTGTTTGGTTATCACTCTTACAGTCGTGAAACTAACATCATCTCTCTCTCTCTTACCAGGATTTCCTTAACAAAGAGGTTAAAGAAAATGGAACCCTAGATCTTGAGTGGCTACGTGATGCTCCACCAGATCTAGTGAAGTAGATAACTTACTTCTTTCCACATAATAGAACTGCATTTTTCAATGTGCTAATATTCAATCTTTTATTGGTACTCGCTTAACATACTTCATAATCTTTATACACCATCATCATGTTATATTATCAGGAGATTTCTCCTTGGGATAGATGGCTTGGGGTTAAAGAGTGTAGAGTGCATACGGCTTTTGGCACTTAAGCATATTGCTTTCCCGGTAAGATGTTAATGATCCAAATTTCCCCTTTCATGATTTTCCTTAGGTTTTCTTATCCTTAAGCCCTCTCTCTGGTTATTTGTAGGTTGACACAAACGTTGGTCGGATAGCAGTTCGGCTTGGGTGGGTTCCCCTTGAACCTCTCCCTGATGAAGTGCAGATGCATCTGCTGGACGAGTAAGTCCTTTTCATAAACAAGAAAGAAACAAATATAGTTATTTATGAACAATTTGGTCTTCTAGAACAGATTCTCTTACTCTCTGTAGGTATCCGCTCATGGATTCAATTCAAAAGTACCTCTGGCCAAGACTGTGTAGACTTCCTCAATCTACTCTGTAAGTCGGAATTTTCTTTTCCCCCAAACTAGTTATTCTTAACAACAGTATATCAACATGTATTTGGATAAGAAGTTTCTTTTGGAATTTCTTGAACTCATGTTGCGATATCATATAGGTATGAACTCCACTATCAGATGATTACATTTGGAAAGGTAAATGCAAAATCCCTTGTGGATATGGATGGAAACTGCTTTACATGTTACTTGAACAAAACATGACTAATCTTGACTGAACCCACCAAAAAACAGGTTTTCTGCACAAAGAAGAGTCCGAATTGTAATGCGTGTCCGATGAAGGCAGAGTGTAAACATTTTGCAAGTGCATATGCCAGGTTTTACTGAGAACCCCTAAACTGCCATTTTTCTCCTTTTGAATTTTTCTGGTCTTACATTGACTTCAGGTAATCCAAATTAAGCCACCAGCTGATTTCGCAACTACATTGGATTCCCTTTTAAATTTCTAGCTTTTCTATTAGCTTATGAATTTGTCAGTCATACTTTCATTGTCATATATGTCACATGGACCACACCCACATTTGTATCAGTTAATATCAATTTGTTATATATACTAGGAAATCGTTTATTTTCTTCAAATGATCATGTTTGGACAAAGCTTTCGTAATGTGTGGTGCTTTATACAGTTCACAGCTTCTCCTCCCAGGCCCGCAAGACAAGAAAACAGAGGACTCGGACAGTTTCCTTGTACCCGCAACTCCTCATATAAATGCAAACCAGACAGTGCAGATAACATCCATAGAGGGGAACTCCTCTCCTGAATACAGAAGCCAGACCAACAGCTCTGAGCCCATAGTCGAGGTCCCACCTTCCCCGACTCCAGAAATACCCGAGTTAATAGATATTGAAGATACTCCTTGCAGGGCTTCATGTCAGCCAAATGGTGAAATCCCTGACATTGATGTTGACATGGAAACATTCAAGAAAAACGTACATGATGCCATTCTAAACATCAGAAAGATGCTGAATAGTCACAATGCTGAAGAAGTATCAAAAGCTTTAGTTGCTTCAACGCCAGAAAACGCTTGCATCCCGATGCCAGCCCCAAGACTGAAGTATTATAACCGGTTAAGGACTGAACATGTGGTGTGAGTATCCGTGTTATCCTCTCGTGATAGATACTATATACTGATTATGTAATCTAAACACTTACTAACACATATATCATCTGTTTTACAGCTATGTTCTTCCAGATGACCATGAACTTCTCCGAGGGGTAAATTTTTTCCTTAAATAGAAAAATTTTCAACTCACTTACGAATAATTTAGTGATAAGCTTTTTACTTCGTAAATTTTTTAAACATGTCACAGTTTGAGAGAAGAGAACCTGATGATCCGAGTCCGTACCTTCTTACAGTCTGGCAACCAGGTATTATGACATAGTAAAGTTAGAGGGCCTGTCATGTTTGGCATGATTGTGTTCAGTAGTTTTATTTTTCATTTCTCTGATTCTGTTTCTATAAATGATCGACCTTCTCTTCATTCGTCTCCAGGTGAAAAGTCACATTCTTTCACCCCACCAAAGAAGAAATGCAATTCAGATGGATCAGAGCTCTGCAACGACCAGACCTGCTTTCATTGTTGCAATATACAAGAAGAAAATTCCAAGATTCTCCGTGGAACAATCCTGGTGAGCATACTCTTACTTTACAGCTTTGGAATAGAAACCTGTCGAAAAAAAAAAAACTTTACACATTGATCGGTCCATGGACAGGTTCCCTGCAGGACAGCAATGCGAGGCAGCTTCCCACTCAATGGAACATACTTCCAGATCAACGAGGTCGAGCATTTCCATCGAAATTGTTCAATATTACACCATTTTCCAAAAAAAGACTTGGTTTTCTGACAGCATTTGTAACACACACTGTCTTTGCAGGTATTTGCAGATCAGGAAACAAGTCTAAAACCCCTTGTGTTTCCCAGGGAGTGGACTCATGGGCTAGAAAAACGTGCATTGTACTGCGGTTCATCGATATCATCCATCTTTCGAGGTCTAGACACAAGACGGATTCAACTGTGCTTTTGGACAGGTAACAAACACAATCCCCCCTGAACTCTTAAGCTTGCGCTCTCTCTTGTATATATTCATACATTCATGTATATAGGCTCGTAGATTTGGGTATCTGAAATATTGATTGAAAATGAGTTTAAAGCTCGTCCCTTCGGAGCAAAAGACGAATCATATCTCCTCTCCGTTTCATTTCGATAACTATTCATATAATGTATAAGAAAATGATGATGTCATGGGTTTGGAGAATCAATGGATGGATATGTGATTATGAGCACAGGGTACGTCTGCCTGAGAGGGTTCCATCGGGAGAAACGGATTCCACAAGAACTCGCAGGAAGGCTCCACACGCCGCCTAACAAAAGGGGCAAGAAGTTTGAGAGAGACGACGGCTAATGATTCTTGGAACATCAAAACATAGTTTTGTGTCTGAATGAACAGAGAAGGCAGTACAGTACTCATCTAACCGATTCGTGTCTATATATAGGAATAGGGTTTTTAGTCTGTGTATATATAGGAAATAGTGCACAGCTCTGATATAGTTTTGCTTAGTTTTTTGAAAGCTGATTTTTGCTATTTATTTTTTGATTTAACGACTTATTATAAATAGATGGTTTAATCGTATTTTGGATGGTCGGATAAATCTTCAATTTTCTAGGAAAGTGAAGAGAAAATCAAAGAGAGCAAGAAAAGTTTTGGTAAAGTAAGAGAATTATTGGTCTTAAAACCAAAAATGAGAAATAACGAATATATTCAATTCCATGATTTGGAATAGTTTTTTTTTTTTATAAAGAGGAGCTTCATTGGACATCCAATCTAAGAATTCAAAATGATTTTATCACTTTTCAACCATTAGACCACCAACTAGCGATATGATTTGAATTTAAAGGAAATAGTTTTGTAATAGAAAACTCTACTTTTGTTTTTCTACTAGACTAAATGTATTTCACGAGTTTTGTTTCCACGTGCGGTAAAATGATACACGTTACTCATGTGGTCGATAGGCTACGATTCCAATCGAATCTTTTCTCTGCGTTACGTTGCATGGCATTGCATGAAGCGTGTACGGCCATGTGAGGGGTTATGAGGCACGTAGAAGGCATGGTGACGTGTCATCGTGGTTTCTTTTAGAAACAGAAATGATCGTACCTACCACGCGCCTCCAAAATCTGTGCTTTTTTGTTGTTGTTGTTGTCTTCCCCCTTTTACCAACTCCCATCCTGATTCCTCATCATTCTTCGCGTCATTACCATTCCTCGTCATCATCTTATCATATGGTTTCATGTTAATTTCTCTACTGATGATTTTGTAATCAAAAGTTGGCATATTTCTCTACTGATTTTTTGGTAAATATATTTTAGCACATATGATGCAAAATTATGAGACGATGACAATCTAATTAATATGTGAACAGAAAAAGACATATTGTTAAAAAGTTTTATAAAATTATAAAGCAATAAAAAACTAATTCCTAAACTTTTCATTCGATTAATTTATTTTTAAATTTCGTAGATTGTGTCGTTATAATTTTTGAATTTGATAATTAATATCGTACGTCACGCGACACACCACTTATTTGTTATATATGGGGCGTGATCTATGGTATAATCAATTAGAAAATTGGAAATAAATTTAGAATAAATTCGTTTAAGTGAAAATTTTATCAATTTTTTTCTACCATTTTATAAATTAGTAAATTTTAGTGGAATATATGCTTAATCAATATAGGTGGAATCGAAATGTTCTAACTGAAAAGTGTCAATTTGCATTGCATGAGAGGCAACAATTTAAATATAGAAAAACATTAAAAACCACAACAAAATAAATTATAAATTAAATCAAACTGAGGATCCAAGGCTTTTAATATAGGATAAATAAATTTTAATTTTCCTTCTCCAAATTTGAATCTCAATTACTGTGCGTCTTAGCACGATGTCTTACGATGATGATGGTGACCAAGGAGTCATGTCCATGGGATAACTCCCAAGAACCCGCAAGAAGGACGTGAACTCTTGAACCTCAGCAAGCGCGTTCTGAGCACGCGTCTCCGCCATTGAAGCCTCGAAGTCGATGTAGAACATGTACTCGAAGTGTTTCGCCGTCCCCACGTTCACGTCGTCCACCAGCCTAATCGGGCGGTTGTGATTCGGCCGCGATTCGATCTTCGTCAAGCTTATGTTCCTAAACGCAAACGCAGAAAGCACCTTGAACAGAACACTCGTCCCTCTCTCGTGCGCGAAGACTATGCTCGTCTTGAATGGCCGGTCCGTCCTTGGTATGATCGGCTCACGCGCCAGCATCACGAAGCGCGTCACGTTACTAGCGTCATCCTGGATCCCGTCCTCCAGGATCTCGAGCCCGTAGATCTCGCCTGCGCGTGCGCTCGCAATCGCGGCGGTATCTCGGAGTTTATTGGCGGCGATAAACTCGGCGGCTCCGGCGGTGTCGTCGACGGCTTCACGCGCCACGTTGAGGCCGAGCTTCGTGATCGTGTGCTCGCACTGGGCGAGTGCCTGTGGGTGGGAGATCACCCGCGTGAGGAACTCCTTGCGAACGCCGGGGAGGGCCATGAGGCAGTGATGGACAGGGAGCTGGACTTCGCCGACGATGTGGAGACGGTGGCGGAGGAGGAGGTCGTAGTTCCGGTGGATCGAACCGCCGAGCGAGTTTTCTACCGGTAAAACCGCTCGATCTGCGATCCAAAGCTCCACCGCCTGAAACGCGACCTCGAATTGGTCGCAAGGAATCGGTTCGCAGTTTGGGTAAGCCTTACCGGCGGCGGCCTCTGAATAGGCGCCAGGAACGCCTTGGTACGCAACGCGGAGCCTAGATCCGTGCATCGGCGCTGGCGACAGATCCGTAATACTCAATGGCTTCTGCAACGGGGTCAGCGATTTGGCATCGGAATTCTCGATCGGGACCAGATTCAGTCCGATGACAGGTGCGGCGGAGCTGTTGTGGCCATTCACGGTGACAACGGGATCGATTTTGCCGGAGAGTGGTGGCGCCTCCGGCGCTGATTCTGATTGATCCTGAGAAACGACCTTGCTCGAGAGAATCGCACACGAGCTCTGCCAATCGGCTCGAGCTGAACCAACACCGTTAGGAATGGTCCAACTGTCGGATCTCTGGGCGTAGTGTACGGCATGACTCGACCGCTCCATCCTCGCCGTCGCCGGAGCAGTTCCGTGCATTGAATTAAGGTTGTGTGGAGACGACGGCGAAACAGCTCTCATGCCATAGAGAGAGAGAGAGAGAGAGAGAGAGAGAGAGAGAGATTGAGGGAGGGAGGGAAAAACAAAGAACTGAAAATGTGGTTGGTGGATCAGCTCGGAACGCCAAGCTGAGGAAGCAGAAATAGGAGTAAGGTCATTTATATACAGGGTAGGGGGGGGAGGTGAGGGTCAAAACGACAGCGTTTCGAGGAGTACACGCGTATTCTCAAATCTCAATCCCCGCACCACACCTACCCTCTCCACCCTCCATGGGATTATGTCCTAATTAAGAAAATTTGTGCATTTATCATAACCTTTACTATTATTATTATTATTATTATTATTACAAATGAAGATACAATTAAGCGGATTTGTGAAAATGTATATTAATAAATTCATCATATAAAAAAGGATGGTAATTATCTATATGATATTAAAATTAGAGCAATACCACTCTACCTTGGGTTTGAATGGACTTGAAATTGGAGAAGTGAATGCCCATTTGTGTCACAATACAATATTTTTTTTAACAATTATTTTGGTTGACCTTTACTTCTTAAACCCAAATGTTTTTTTTAAATTCACAAATTACATAGATTTATACATTACATCACAACAAAAATATACGTGTAGTGTATTGTGTACGTATATATATAGTTTGATTGGTAGCATAGCATGTCAACTTAGACCATAAATATTTCACAATTGAGTCGCCCCCCTTTAAGGACCGAATACTAAAATCGAATGGAGTTCACATTCCCATGTATTTATCAATCTATATAATATACCCTTAGGTAAAAGAATTCTCATGTATATCACAGCTTATTAGAGAAAACTATATTAAAACAAATGGAAAATATACGTACTTCAAATCCGTCAAAATCAAGATCTATGGGTGAACATGGTCCTGTGGATTTATTTGTGTGCGTGTCCTGTGGATTTTGGGATATTTACTTGTAAATATATATATATATATATATATAAAAAACCTAGCGTGCATCGTCGGTCCAAAAAATTATATATTTTCTTAGAATATAGTAAACATAACTAACTCATTAATTTAATCGTGATCTCAATTATAGATCCGAAGATTATATCTCCTAATCCTATATATATATATACACACACACACAACTGATTGTACTTTAGATCACCATTTTGGTTTAGGTATATAAAAAAGGAAGGAATAATATACAATCGATACTTAATTTTTAAAAATTTAATTAATCGATATTAATTGAAAAACGATTTTTTTAAAATAATTATTCTTTTCATAAAACTTGAATTCAAAATAAAGTTGGGAAAATTTGAATCGAAGTAAATATTTTTTTCAAACCCAAAATATAAACTTAAAAATAAAACGAAAACTAAAATATCTCAATTCACCATGCTAAACAAAATTGGCAAAACCAAACTATATTATATAACAGCTTACCAGATTGACATAGATTCTGAATTCATTAATCATTCCAGTTGACCCAACGGGACTATTTTTTTTTTGAATCAGCGTAATTTTTCGAGATCCACCAAACACAAAATTTACGAAAGAAAAAAAAATAATTATCGTACAGTGTGGTACTCCAAAGGTTTGAAATTAAACATATTTACCATAAAAATGTAAAATAAAAAGGTCTATTATTTGCTAGATTAAATTAAATACATTTTTTAGTAAAAATTTGGTTCGAACCATCTTATTACCAATATGGGGGGGGGGGGGTTCTAAAACCTAACAATTTCACAATCATATAGATACTGATATACGAAACTTAATAAATTTCATTTTTTTCATTATATATATATATATATATGTGCGTGTGTGTGTTTCTTATATTTTCTTAATGAAAAAGAAGATTTTTTTTTTTTTATAATAAAATTGAATTTACACAACAATGGCCAGTCACCAACACGTGATAGGAACAACAGAACACATGCTACCCAACTCCACGGCTCTCTTCGGCTGGTCCATTTTGGACCGGTCACGTGATTTCTGCATTATTCGGATGTTCGTAACCATCGCAAATACTTTGGTTACCCTAATATGTCTTCACTTATATATTCAACATCTTTTTTTTTATATTTTATATTCAACATCTTTCCATAAATAAACATAACAATAATTTTTGTCAAATAATTCGTAGCTCAATCAGTCATATCACAAAAACCTCACGATTGATAGAAGAACCGAATATAATGCAATTGGGTTCCGACATAAAGAAGACAAATCAATTTTCTTAGAAAGATTACCTTTTAACCGTTTTTTTTAACCATGGTCATTTTATATGTAACTATTTCATTCATGAAAATGTTGTATCGTTATAAATCTGTATATATTTAGGATATTAATACTTATTATATTTAGTAAACTAAAAATTAAAACTCGATTGGACCGGGCTGACCTGTGGCCCGATAATGGTTCGGGTCAAGTCCAATTACAACGCGGTCCTAAAATATAACAAGCAGGGGAAATCAGGGGTATATTTGTAAATCCTTAGATGAAGAGAAACCCTAAACAAAAACCCTCTTTCTCCGATTCCGGCAGCTTCCAATCTCTCCCTCTTCAATCTTCCGGCCCCAACCACAGGTGAAAAACCCTAACTTTGCGTCTCTAGTCATCATCTTTATCAAGGCAGCAACATTTCATGCTTTTCACCTCGATGATCAATTTATGGTCCTATAACTTTGCTCTACTGTTTCTCGACGAGTGATACGATCTTTCTTCATCCCGTTCTGAATCGCTCTCTTCCTATTGGGTTTGTTAGGAATTCTTCGTGTCTTGTTTCGAAATTGATGGAATTTTCGTCGCTACGTAGTTGGTTTTCCGTGCTTTTCTGATGTTTACGGATTCTTTTTGAAGTAATTTGATGACATTTAAGAGATTCTTATCGAGGTGTGGAAAATTGTGCTGTGATTGGATTTGATTCCTCAAGCGCTTGGAGACAGTATTTCGCCCAAACCTGCTTGTCAGAATCTTGTTATATGCTAAATCGCTTAGCCCCCAAATCGTTTTTTCCGACAGAATTCATGAAACTACATAGATCTGTTTTTCTTGTCTTGTTTGGTGCTTTGTTTGTTGTTTCTGCTGTTCCTTGAGCTTTAGTTTCAGACGACAACTTAGAGCTTGAGCCACTTCTTTGTTCTGGATTTTTTTTAAACCCTTTCTTCTATTTGCGGTTGGTGTTTCGTCTAGGGTTTCTAAACAGTAGGCAAAATGAGATTGGAGAAGTGCTGGTTCTGCTCTTCGACAATATACCCAGGACATGGGATCCAGTTTGTCCGCAACGACGCCAAGGTAAATGGCTTAACCCGTTGAATATGTGTCTTTTGTGCTTGAATGATAAAAAATGGTGCCTCATGTCTAAATTCTCTAAGCGACTCTTATGGGCTAAATACTTTGATACGCTCATGTGATTTAACCTTTTAAACCTTTCAATTATGCCCGAGAAATTCCTTTGATTATGCTTTCGGTGGGTGTTGCTATTTGTATGGTTTTCTAGCTTGAACGACAAATAATTTGTTGGATTGTCAGTTGATTCATGTATATAATCTCAATCACTCCTTGAGAGCTTCATTTGTACATTGGACTAGTTTGATAGCCACTGTTGGGTTCAGTTTATCCACTAGGGTGGCATATTTGATTAAAGATGTGTGTAATCTCTAGGATACGTAGGAGTTTCTCAAATATTTTGACGTTAGTTTTGTCTATGATTTGAGCATATCCCGATCAAACATTCCAGTGCTCAGTGGTGTTAATCTTTTGGATCTAAATCTCTGATGATATATTACTCAATGGGCAAGTTGTCAACATTTTTTAGTTGTCATGGATATTATGTGGTTTGTGATTCGGGGCAAGTAAACTATCTTCTGCTTTGCAGATTTTTCGGTTCTGTAGGTCAAAATGCCACAAGAACTTCAAAATGAAGAGGAACCCACGGAAAGTGAAATGGACTAAAGCCTACAGAAGGTTGCATGGAAAGGACATGACACAGGTAGATATATTTAATTTGATCAAAGTTAAAATAGAAGAAGGTGCAGAGTTTCGCCTTACCATGTCTGCTCCTCTTTGTGTTTCTTCTCCCAAGGATAAAACCTTTGAGTTTGAGAGGAAGAGAAACAGGCCTGAAAGATACGACAGGAATATGACAGAGAACACACTGAAGGCCATCAAGAAGATTGACAAGATTAGAAGCGAAAGAGAAGCCAGACACATCGAGAAGAGGTACATTTATATCTTTCTCTATCCTAATCTTCTCGGGATAGAAGAAAACACTCAGAGAATGTAGTATTTGTTCAGCAGAGTCCACTGATTCTATTCGTTTTGATGTTAAAACTCAGGATGAAACCGAAGAAGCTCAAGGAGCACAAGGAGGCAGTGAAGGAGATAGAACAGAGCATATCACTGGTCAAGGCGCCTGCTTCTCTCCTGAAACAACAGGATCAGGTTTTGTCAAAGATCAAAGTCCCGGTTTCTCATCAAATGGCAGAGGAACACAACGCCATGGAAGAGTGATCCTGTTCTTTTGCCCAACTTTCAAAAACTCTTACTCTTTTATCCGTGTATCCTATAAAAGCAAACAATTACACTCTATTTGTATTGTGGGGTATCAATGAAAAGACTGTGGCATAAGTTATTTGATTGTATTTCCCCTACAGAACCAAATATAAGAGTGAACGGAATGAAGAGCATTGATTCATTTGGAATTGGTATGACTTTGTTCGGAATTTGCTCTTTTCTATTCTCAAAGCATCGACGCTTGTTTGGCATCTGTGGTTGAAATTTTCACTTGTGCTCTGTCGCTATTTTACGGTCCCTTTACACAGTCGTATTCTTCTATTTGTGATTGTGAAGGACAAAAAGAAAATGAACAATACACAGACTGTGGCTTCCAATTCGAAGTAGCGTTTTAGGGTTTCCATCTCTGTTTGAAGGGTTTTTTGACGGAGGTTTCAGTTCAGGGATCAATCGAAAAGCCACATTTTTCCCGTAAAGTTCGAAGAGAGAGGAAGAAAATGGCGGTGTTTCGCTTAGCCGTGACTTCTACGCTTCTGGGTCCGGTTCTCAGAGCAACTACGAGACGACGTTTGATCACCCCCGAAGCTAGATTCTCCGTTCCGAACCCTAATTTATCATCGATTCGATTCAACTTTTCCTTTCCACAAGCTCGAATCGAGGCTTCTGCTTCGTGGTAATTCGTCATCCCTTCGGATATGGTCCTGTTTTATGGACGTGTTTTTGCTTGTTTTTATGTTATGTCTTTGATAAAGGCTCGATTTTGGTTGAATCTGGAAGGTTTTCGCGGCGTGAACTGGGCACCCACTTGCCGTTTCTCACCGCCATTGCTTCCTCTCGCATCTTCTCGAAGCTCCCGTCTGATTTCACCGACTCCTGTGAAGGTAGGTATCTATCTTATTCTTGATCGATTATACATGGGTTTGAAATGCTTTGTGCATTTCATGCTATTAGGATTTGGAGTGAATTATTTGGGTGTCAGATCCTCGAACTCAAGTTTCAAGTTTGGTTTTGGGTCTCAGTCTCATGACAGTTTGGCATTATTTATTGGATTGACCCGCTAAATTCTTCTGCTTGGATTAGCTTCACCTACCATCTAGAGGACATTAACTAGCTTCAGTGTGCAGGATTTCAAGTGTAAATCTGTGTAAGAATCTTCTATACATGTACGTACATCTGCATCAGGATGCATCGAAGTTTTAAGAGATGTTTGGAAATTCCTTTGTGTAGACAACTTTCTACTAAATTAAGCAAAATATGAACTCATTTCACTTTTTATCTTTGCTGTCTGTCGGTTGGTATCTAGTTTTCCAGAGAAAATGATCTTTCAAGTACTGCGGTGATGCTTATTCTTTTGCATTCGTTGAAACAAATCTCATGTAAGCAGAGATTTGTTCATCACTTTGGTCTCTGGTCCACTTTCTACAATATTATTTTCTTTTTCTTCTTCTTTTGCCATCAATGCTTGATGGTTAATCCTTTCCCCTGATTTATTTTTGTTACAGTTTGGCTCCTCTTATCGTTGCTTTGGGATCTACATATATTTTACCTCACATTCATGCCGATTGAGGCCCTATATTTTTTTCTAACATGAATTTCAGCATGCCCCCATCCGTAATTCCTCCTAGGGCTAGATTAAATCTACTCATGTTTAGGCCATGCCCTGACAAAAGTTTCTTCTAATTCCTAGTGTACGGGTTCTTTTTGCCATCATTCCGTAAAAGTGTCTTTCGATTACAGTTAGATTGGCTTCTTTCAATGTTTTTGATCTAGCCCACACAAATACTAGAAACTTTTCTTCTGACTCAATATCTAGGTCGGTTTACAGCTGTTTCCTTGCATTCTTCATACTCGACCATGGCTCCAAGTAAATCACTCGGAAAGAGAAACAGCAAAAGAAAGAAATCGAATGCCAAACCTGTCCTGGATGAAACTAAATTGCAACAGGCGATTTCTCAGCTCCCGCCCAGATTTACCCCAGAAGAACTTGCCGATGCCATAACCCTTCAAGAGGACCCACTCGTGTGTTTCCACCTCTTCAACTGGGCATCACAGCAACCAAGGTTCAGACATGATGTTTGCTCGTACCACAATGCCATAAGGAAGCTTGGAGCTGCAAAGATGTACAAAGAAATGGATGATATTGTCAACCAAGTATTGGCTGTTCATCACATTGGTAACGAGAATCTCTACAATTCAATCGTCTTCTATTTCACTCAAGCACGTAAGCTGATACGCGCAGTGAATATATTTAAGCACATGAGAAGCAGCAGAAACTTGGAATGCAGGCCTACGGTTAGAACTTATCATATCCTTTTCAAAGCCTTGTTGGGAAGAGGGAACAATTCTTACACCAGCCACATGTACATGGACACAATGAGATCTTTGTTCAAACAAATGGTGGATGACGGTATTGAACCAGACGTGTTCGCTTTGAATTGCATGATCAGAGGTTACGTCCTTTCTCTTCATGTCAATGATGCCCTAAGGATCTTTCACCAGATGAATGCGGTTTACGATTGCCAACCAAATGCATATTCATATGATTATCTGATACATGGATTATGTGTCCAAGGTCGGACCATTAATGCAAGAGAGCTGTTTGAAGAGATGAAAGCAAAAGGATTTGTTCCAAATGGGAAGTCTTATAACTCATTGGTGAATGCTCTTGCTATAAGTGGAGCGATTGATGATGCAGTGAATTGCCTGTGGGAAATGATTGAGAATGGGAGGTTGGTTGATTTAATCACATGTAAAACAGTCCTGGATGAGTTTTGCCGAAGAGGAAAGTATGGTGAAGCAACGAGACTGCTGGAGATGCTGCGAGAGAAAAAGCTTGTTGATGGAGATGCGTATAAGAAGCTTGTGAATGTTCTCCACAGTGATTCATAGAGGTAACAAAGCGTCTGAATTTTGTTATACTTTATGTATCATTGTTTCTGAAAATATCCTTTTTTAAATATCAGGAAATTGGAAAAACAAATTAGTTTGGTATCAAAACTTGAAGGTGGAGCTTTTTTTTTTCATATGTAGTCATAAGGACCAGTTGATGGACTTTTAGTTTGAGCAATTCCTTGATTCTAGGATATCTCATACTTTTTGTTTAATGCTTTGTTGGCTGTCTTCCAGGATTTTTGAACACAAGGCATAATGAGATTGGGGAAAAGCTGTTTTTTGTTTTGCACTTTAACAATATGCCCGGAATGTGGTATCCAGTGTGCCAGCAACAATGCAAAGGTAGATTGGTTGGTTAATGCTTTTTACCTTTTCGATGGCATGAGTTTGAGCTTAAATGAGTAATAATTAGTGGGGTTTAGTAGTTATGTTCACAAGTAAGATCTCTGACCAATCTGTGTCAAAAGTTTAGTTAAGTTCATATGATTTGAACCGTTTAAACATTTTCCAATCATTCCTGAGAGAAATGCCTCATCTCAGTGCCACATAGTAACTTGCCGACACTTCTCTTACCTTCCGTGTCAGTGTCGTCGATTTTTAATCCTCATATCTCGATGAATTCTTTGGGGTCTTTTAGCTCTCGAGGGGTGGCAAATAAACGGTGGTTGGTCATTGTGTTCAATGTCTGACTTTTTTGTTTGCTAAATGTACGAGTTAACAGTATATCCGTGTTCTGAGCGTATGCATCTCAGTGCCTAATGTAAGTTGGATCTTAGCAACGACATTTTGCTCAGTTTTGCTGTGCATATAATTTGGATCATCTGTGATTCTCCCCTTTGCAGATTTTCAGAACAATTGGAAAAAGGACTAAAATCCTGCAGGAGATTTGCATGGAGATGGAGGAGAGGGCATGGCACTTCACTTCACCCGATTTGATCAAAGAAGCCACGGCCCGGAAAATCTAACTGAAAGGTCGGTAAGCTGGGCAACATATATGGTAAAAAGAGGTACTCATTCCTCTTGTTGCTAGTTCTTTACGTGTACAAGATAGTAGTATTTGATAGAAACAAACTCCACTGATTCTGAGTGTTTGGAGATCTCAGGATGAGTCATCCCAAGGAACACAGCATCCCTCTGGTTTATGTTTCTTTTTTGTCTCTGTTAATATACAAATACTTCAGATAGGTTATTGCAAAGTTTGATTTGGTTTCTGTTGCAAATCTTCAAACATGTATCTGTTCTTTTGCTTTCGTTTTGAGTTACAGTTTGAGTGTATGCAATTGGATTCCAGGGTTATGATGATGTATGTGTATGATGGTTCATTCTAATGTATGAATAAAGATTTAAACTCACTTTTGAACCAGAATCAGAATTTGTATATCTGTTTTTTTATAAAAAAGAAAAGAAAAGAAAATTAGTGTTTTTTTGGGTTTTATGTGAATTAACTAACCCAGTTGGTACGCTGCAAGTGACCTGTGCAAAGATTACAAGTGGAGTTAGGGTTATGTACTTATGTTCATATCATCTAACCATATATATATACATATATATATATTGCCATTTCGGTTTTGATAAGTCTAAGTGTTGGAATGAATAAGATGTGGTCGAGTTCAATGGTTAAAGCTTAATCTTCAGACGTTGGAATGGATACTTTTGTATTCATGGATTTGAACCAAAATAATTAACCAATAACGCCATGCAGCGTTTTGTTGTCTTATTATATATCAAAAGCAAATAGCCGAACCGCACCGATCCGGTTTAATATGTCGGTTTTTTGGTTGAGTATATGCGGTTTGGACCGGTCCGGTTTTGAAAAATCCAAAACCCTGAGGTTTAGGGATGAGACCAAGGCCAAAATTGCAGAGACAGTTGAAGAACGAGAGCGGCAAACATGGCAGCAATCGGCGTCGCCGGAAGGTCTACGCTTCTGGGTCCGATTCTCAGAACAGCAACGGCAAGAACTTCAATCGCATCGAGAGCTAGATTCTCCGTTCCGAACCCTAATTCGGCATCTGCTCGCTTGAACTCTTCTTCTCTTCGTCAAGCCCGAACCGAAGTCTCTGCTTCCAGGTGATGATTATTCTTCTTCCTCGGATGTTGTCTCCGTTTCCTGGTTTCGAATGTTGGTTTTTTTTTGTCTTTGAGTTGGTGTTAGTGTTGATAAAGTTTGGATTTTGATTGGATCTAAAAGGTTTTTCCGGCGAGAACTGAGCACCCAGCAGCCATTTTATAGCGTCGTCGCTTCTGCTTGCCTCGTTTCGAAGCTCCCCTCTGATGTCACCGCCTCCTATGAAGGTATTTTTCTTTCTCTGGATCAATTTGGCGTGTTTGTATGAAATGGTTGTTCAAATCAAAGAGTGAAGCCTTAGGTGAAGAATTTTAAGTTTTAGATCCTCGGTCACATAATTAAATTTAGGTTTGCTAAGAATTCGGGTTTCGGTCCTCGAGATGTGTTTTCTAAGGCAGTATTGCGAGCTGTTGGTATAACTGAGATGACTTAGTTAAGCTTCTAGGATCAGAATTCTGTAGTTTGTTCTGAGATTTCCATCTAATTGTGTTACGGCTCGTTCTACACGATATTTTGGGATGAACAATTGAGTTCTGTATCAAATTTTTCTCTGTTGACAGTTTGCTGCTATCATTTGTCTAAGAAAAGTGTATGCCTTTTGAGAAAACTATGGTAGATATCGACGACAAGATGTTTGCAGCCTCTTTGGCTGTGGTTTACATCTCAGAGCCACAGCTGAGTTTTGGTGTCTTCTGAACTAGAAACAGAAAGTTCAGTCCTGCAAAGATTTGTGCTGTTTGTTTGATCTTGGGGAGTTGAGTTTAACTTCAGAAGAGTATAAGGAAGAAGATTTTAAAGAGAATCAAAGAGCTCTAATATTTGGGTTCTAATAACATTTCTTCTTTGGTGACAGGTAGGTTTGCAAACTATGTCAGTCCCATCTAGAAGCAACAGGTTTGCGAGATGAATGGCTTCACCTTTGGTTTCTTTTACGCTATTTTGGTGTTTTCAAGAGAGAAAAACTCAGGTTCTTGCATATTAAAATTGTTAGACATGTTTGGAAGCCGAAAATGTATTTCTCGGAGGTTACTTACTTGGATCTGGTTTCAATTTTTTTAGTCAAATGATACTCAACAAAAGTTGTTCTCAGAATATACCATAATCCTCTCTGCAGTTTCGGGGAAATAAAGATCATTTTCTTCGGTGAAACCTTTACTTTCCTGCCAGATTATGTGTTGCATTCTTTACACAACCAGATTTCAGATTAGATACTGAGGCTCTTATCTCTGGCATCTTGGATCTGCTGTAAGTTAAATGCTGACCTACTTAGAGTAGCCAAATGCTCATGAAATTATAGCTAAAATATGAAAGGGTGAAGGCTAAAGAAGGGAATATATTGTGCTTCATATGTTATTTGCTTCGTGTATCTCCAAGTAACAGCACTATGATCCTAGAAATCTCATTGATACTATTATACTTTACGTTATTTCTCGAAGTGTGGTCGGATTTAGGCCATATATGGTGGGTTATGTAGAAAGAGCTTCATGGCTACCGATATTTTGATTTTGTGGAATACCCATTATTAAAAAAGGAAAGAAAGAGAGATCCTTTCTCTGGTCTAATCAGCAAAAACCAAACTTGTGTCTGGTTGTTATCATACCTGTCAATGCTTGTTGTTTCTGGATTTAGGCAATGATTCTTGCGTGCTGTTTGGAGATTCCTGAATATATCTGTCCCCAGAAGAAAGTTGCAGTTCTACGGTAAAGAAGGCTTCTGCTTGGACCGCTTGGTTCTTTTTCAGATATTGACAGCTCTGCTTTGGTGTGAATCATGGTTTAGTCATTGATTCTTGTTCATGAACGATAAGTTTAACGGGTATGTGTTCCACAACGTTAGGAAAAGTTGTTTTGTTGATAGAATTCTGGGAATTTTCTGCTTAGATCTCAGGTTCAGCGGTTCATCTGATGCATTAGGAATCTTGGGTACTTTTCTTTCAGATCGATTTTCTTTCTTCTCTTTTCTTGGGACCATTTTGATACCAAAAAAACCAGTGTGTCATTTAGCCGCTGAGTCTTTATCTTGCAGGATTCACACTTCTTCCCTTTGTTGTCAATAAAGAACAGTTTGGTGCACAAAGCATCCCGTTGAGCGGGGGTCCGGGAAGGTCCGGGGACCTGGAAGAGTCCCACCAAGAGGGTGTATTATATGCAAAGCTTACCTTATAGAAATATTCTGCAAGAGGCTGCCTCCAATATTCGAACCGTGACCTCTAGAGTACAACGACAACACACCAATACTTCCCTTCTTTGTTGCCAATGTTTTTGGGGAAAAAAAAGTTATTCAGTTGGTTTTCCATTTTTCATCATCTAAATCTTTCTTAAACCACAATCTAAAGTTTGATTGAATTTGGAATTTGATTGGGAGCTGTGAGTTGTGAAATAAATTTAACAAAAAACAAAGATTGCAGTTAGGGATGCAAAAACGAATCCGGTCCGCAAGTTGGGTCGCAAAGTCAGTTCGTTTTTATCGAGTCGGACTGGAAAAATATGAGTTCGAAAATAACGGGTTGTATCCAAACGGTCTGGCTGAGACCGAGTCTGGCCAAACCAGCGCGAGCGCGTTTTGCATCTCTAATTGCATTTATTTCAGAGCTTTTGTTAGCGGATGGTTTTGGTGAGCAATTCAGACGTTTTGGAACTCCTTAGCGTTAAGACATATCTTGTCATGTGGTTGAACTAGTTATTGGTAATTAGTTGTTTAAGTGGTTAGGTTATATACATGGAGACTTTTTCTCATAATAACCAAACCCTTTGAATGTTCTTGTACAATCTTGTTGCTATGTTTTGTCATAAAGGTCGTATAGCATTATTAAAAAGATAATCTCAATTTATTGTTTTAATTTAGTTGGAATTGCTGAAGAAAATTCAACTCGATACATACCATAGTTCACTGTATGGACTAGTTGTATACATATATGTGTGTGTATGTATGTGTTTTGTAAATCATGATCCTTAGATGATGATGATGACATAGGTTTTTATCATGAAATATGAAAAGACTTTCATTATGATATTTTAAGGGGTTTTATTATTATTTTTTAATGTAATAAGTAGTGAGGTTAAGATAATGGTATTAGTTATGGGATTGACCAATGCGCTTTATGCATGATTAGCCAGGTAGGACATCTGTTCAAAAGCAGAACCTCACCCATCACATCACTTATAGAACATGTACATGTACATGTACATATAGACACCCGCATATATATATACATATATATGTATGTTTATGGTCACTTGAAACGGGATATTATACTCCTATTATATTTTATAAAAATTAAATTAAATTTTCATAACAAATATTTGAGTTTATCTATAAATTATTTCTTTTGTACTCCATCTTTTTCATACCCATTAAAAATATTTTCTGAATCCATTTCTATATAGATTTTCTGAAAAATCTACCTTTTTCATAAATATAAAAAAGGCAGAAAAATATTATAATAAATAGTAGGCAACTTAACTAGCCGTCTCTAAAATATTTTATCTCATTCCCACCTTCTCTTACACACTAATAAATACACATATATGAAATATTCAACCATATTATAAAAACCGATTAAAGGGCGTACATAATATATCCACAAATAGATTAGGACAATTTAATATCGAAGTAATATTCGAATTCGAATTCAATTTAAATCGAACCCAATTTTAAAATTAAACATTTTCGAATCCCACAAGATTCGATGAAACTAAACCAATACCAAATAAAATAAATTCCAACCAGACAAAATTTATATCGAAATATGTTTGTAACGAGTTTCTCATTGTACCCCCACCACCCAGCCGAACTTTATATATTACACTCTATCCACAGAACCACAACTATGTATATATATCCATCACACGTCACATTTATATTTAGGTCACAATTATTAAACTTTGTTTATGGCTGCTTTTGTGTTTGATTATAAAATTACAAAAAAAAAGGGATATTTAGTGTCAAACTTTAAATTTTATATATTTTGTGATTTTAAAATAAAAAATATTGTAATTAAAACTATTGATTTTCATTTAGTTTATAGAAACGCGGATAAATACTTTCAATATCAAATAATATTATAGTGTAACCAAATGTTTGTAAATATACTTTATCTATAAATCTCAATATCTGTCATAATTTCAAAGTTTTTATTACACGCAAAAAGCCTTGTCCGAATCTCACATTCATTAGAAGCCTCTAGAGGTTGATGCTTTCGTGCTTTAATACCCAACCATATCAATCTTTTTCAAATCATATGATTTCAAAGATGATAGCATATAATAAATATATATATATATATAGTAAAAGACGTTATTATAAAGTCTTTATACACGACATACAATTTAATTTGGAAATAGATAATTAGTGTAAAAATTTAAATGTATTATGACTAACCAGTCATCTCGTTAATTGCCATTATATATTAGAACATTTTGTTTCGGCGCACTTTTCCGTTTTCTTTTATTTTTTACAAAAAATATTTTCCTCTCTTTTCCCCAGTTTTTCGGGTCATTTTCCATTATCTTCTTATTTTTTTTCCGATTTTTTTTTGTTGCTATCATTTTTTTTTGTTCCCAAAACATTATTTCTTAATTTTGGGAAAAAGAAAACAACAGTTCAAAGTGCTCACTGAAATGATTCGTATACCTTTTGGCTTTTGCATTTCAATACTTATAAATATACGTGCATTTTCTTATATGTATATATAATATGTAGAAGTAGAAGGTGGGCTCGTTTACGTATAGAATATAATGGTTTGATAAAAATTGAAAAATCATGTGATTGCATGTGTTAAGAAGGTACCACGAAATCAATGCAATCTCACCAATCCAATGCATTTTTACTTCTATATTTTATGGAATACCTTAAAACTTATACATATATATATATATATTGAGGTTTTAATATTGCTAAAGGCTGTTTTCTAATATATTAAGGGCATATATGTATAAACAGCAGATTAATTAAAAAAAAAAATTTCTACATAATATAAATAATTTAACTCAAAAAATATATGTGAGAAATGTATTTTTATTGATATTATTAAATACAATTTTAAGATGTAATACTAAAATTATATTTAAATTTATTGGAGATAATTGTATGATATATATATCCAACTAATGAAAATGACCCCCCGCCCCACAAACTCATTCCAACAGTATTTTCTACTTCCTAAAGAATATCCAAAAACTATACAACTTTTAAAAAATGATTTAATTGAATTTTTAATGAATAATTACTTGATAAATGTATTTTAAAAAATTATTACATTTAAAATCTTAACTATAGATTTATCATTCTGTCATTAAAATGTCTAATACGTGTATATATATATATTCATATATCTATAATTACTTGTTAATAATGTGATATATTTAAAATATTATAATTTAATAAAAAGGTTATAGTTTCTTTACGTCTTTATACAGTTTTTATCATTTATTTAGATTTGTTGATGATTAAAATTTTAAATGTACTTTTTAAAAGTAAAATTGTTAATTTTGTAGATTTTTTAATCAAAAGTTTAACTACATTTATGAATATTGAAGTTTTAACTGAACTTTTTTAAAAGTTCAATATTCATTTTTGATATAGAGTTATTATTATATATGGAAAAATTAGAGAAAAAAAATTACTTGAATTTGTACATTTTTTATATCATAATCATGGCTAATTATATATGAGAAATTGCTGAATTTAATGCGTACATATGTACATTACATATGGTTGTAACCCATACTTTGCTTGGGAATTTGAATCAGTGACATTAAAACAATCTAAGTTTTGAGTCTTGACCCTACACATATATACATATATATATTTGCACAATTAAATATTTCTCCAAACAATGTATTTGCACAATTAAATTGTACAATAAAATTAAATTTCCGTATAATAAAGAGTTAGAAGGCTCCAAATGCAAGATATCTGCAACTTCACTCAGATCTCCATATGATAGGCTGTCTTTCTAAGCTTTGTAACTTTCAATTTTATCAAAGACATAAAAAAAAAACTATTATTTCTTTTCATTCCCTCTTTTTTTTTTCTTTTTTTTTTTTTATGTTTCTGACAGCAACGACGAACACACCAAAAGGGCCTGGTTAGGGAACAAGAAATTAAAGAATCCAGATGACAGGAAGACCGTAATTAATTCCCGATTAATTTTTTTTAATATAGTACATACGATAATTTTATTGGTTATAATATTTTATTACATCCTACAAATATTATATTAAATTTTCTAAAGGTTGGATAAATGGCCATGATTATGTTACGACAAACAAAGCGACCGTGCCCTACCTTTTATTTATACATTTATTTTTCATTTTTTTTTTTATGAAATGGCAAAATGGATTAAGCAAAGTGCATTAATTCTTGCTACTATTTAATCTCTTTTTACCTTTTTTCCATTTTGATAAAATCTCAATACGGTAATAGAATATAAAACATTGAAATGACCTAGTTTATTACTTAGTTTGGCAAGATTTATTTCTATTTTGTCAAAATCTCGTATAAGCTAATTAAATATTAAAAATTGAAAATTCCCTAGTTTATTACCTACCTTACTTTCGCCAAGATTTATTTGTACGTGTTTTTTTTTTTACTTAATTACCGCCAGAAACTATTGCCGTATGAGAGTTTTCCCTTATTGCTTGCGTGTTAATAGGGATTTTAAAATGTAATCCTCGTGTATTAATAAGAGATTGATATCCTCAAACTATACAATCAATTAATTATGGTAATTATTTTAATTATTCAATAAAATTTTTGTTTGTGCTCTCCAAGAGTAAAGTTCGAAAAGTAAACTTCCCTCTGCTCATTTCATTTGCAGTTTTCTTTGGTGCAAGACCCAATCAAACCCCCTCTCTCTCTCTCTCTCTCTCTCTCTCTCTCTCTTGTGAGGAAGAAGAAAAAGAAGCAAAACCCATCTTCGGATTTCAATTTCCTCTGAAACCCAGATCGAATTGATTCTCATTTTCTTCTCAAAATTTCATCTTTGAATCACCAAAGAAAAAGGTTTGATCTTTGGTCATCTCCTCTCTTTCCTTTTGAAACTTCTGGTGCTTGGCAGAAAACTCTCTGTTCCAGAGCTGAAAGCAAAGACTCGGACAGCGATTTGAGGGGGGGAAACCATTTTTTTTCCCGCAATAAAAAATGAGAGACTTAGTGTCGTGTTTCAGCGAGAACTCGATCAACGTGACGAACCCATCATGTTCAAACTACAGCAGCAACGCTTGTATCTCTCCAGCTTTATCCCCCTCTGTTCAAACCTCCATTACGAGCATCTACAGAATCACCATCGGATCATCATCATCATCATCATCATCACCATCATCATCTCGTAAACATCTCTTGATCAATGTCACTTGGTGCAAGAACAACACGAATCCCGCCAACCAAGGCCTCAGCATAGGAGTTTTCGCCCACGACAACAACCCCTCGACGTGTCTGAAACTCAACACCAATTCCAGGTTCTTCCGCAAGAAGAAAGGCAGCAAAGTCCTCGAATCCGATCTCGGCAAGATCGAGGTTCTATGGGATCTCTCCTCGGCTAAGTACGACAACCTCGGAGGACCCGAGCCTGTCGAAGGGTTCTACGTCATTGTCCTCGTTGATGCAGAATTAGGGTTAGTTCTTGGAGCCTCCGCAGAGGAAGCTCTGTTCAAGAAACTGATAAAGTGCTCATCCGGAGATTTCTCCTCGGCAATCGCCAAGAATTGTCTGGTCTCGAGACAAGAACACTTCTCGGGAAACACCCTTTACTCGACGAGGGCCAAGTTCGCGGAAACTGGGATTTCCCACGAGATTCTGATCAGATGCAGCGGGGAAACAGAGGGTCTGAAACAGAACGCTCATGACGACAATCAACATCGGAACCATGGTAATCATCACCATCATCCTGTTTTATCGGTTTGTATCGACAAGAAGACGGTGATCAAGGTGAAGAGATTGCAGTGGAATTTCAGAGGGAATCAGACGATTTTCGTGGACGGGTTGTTGGTGGATCTGATGTGGGATGTCCATGATTGGTTCTTCAGCAGCAATCAGGGGAGCTCGTCTTCAGGAAGTGGGAAAGCTGTGTTCATGTTTCGGACAAGAAGTGGAATGGACAGTCGGCTCTGGTTGGAGGAGAAGATGATGAAGAAGGAACAGAACAACCTTGACTTCTCTCTCCTCATCTATGCCTGTAAGACCTAGATTGTTTTTTTTCTCTCTGTTACCATGAGTTTTCTTGGCTTTTTGGGTTTCATTTCTTCTTGAAAGAAGTAAAGATTTTTACATTCTTTTTTTTTGTTGGAGTTGTGATTCATTTATATTGAGAAAATTTCAGAAATGGGCAATTTATTAGGAATATTTTTTTTTTGTGATGATTAATGTTTTTTGGTATATATATTGGTCCAAGAGTTTTGAAAATATACATTTCAAAATCCAAAAATCTTTCTGCTTGGCATTGTCATACACTATGCATGAAGCTCATAAATGAATGTGTTGCAGAAGCAATAATGATAATATGATGGGTATTAAAAAAAAATTATTTAGAAAAATGGTAAATCTTGGAGGGGGATTGGTGTCACATAAGATTTGGTAAAGGGGAAAATTTGGAAATCACGCCTATAAAGAAGATATGCTTGAATTCTCTTTAGAGGACAAAAGTTATAAAGTTGAGAATATCTACTCATAATACTGTTTTATTGTTTATATATTTATTTTTTGAATGATTCTAGGAAAATAATAAATTTTAAAACGGATTTTATGGCTAATGAGGAAAAATATTGAGGGGAATTTTATAAATTAATGAGAAAAATAAGGATACACAAAATGATATGGCATACTAAATTTATAATATTTATTACTTTCTTTTAATATGAGATACATTCCGATATCATTCCATTCGAGAATCTTTGTAATAGAAGAGCATCATTTGTCATCATGAGCAGTTTTTTTACTTTCTGTTTCCTAACATTTGAAAAGTTTTATTTTTTTATTTAATATTGTTTGTTTGGTTGTGAGATTTTTTTTCTTTCTTATGATTAATCCATATAATAATTATGCTCCATTATTTTTATCGATTAAATCATATATTGTCATAATAAAAATAGATAAATTCATACAAAAATAGAAATTAAATTATTAAGTTATTTATTTTAACCAACATATTAAAAGTTCTTTTAAAAACTAAAACTTTTGCAAATGTTTAAAATCATTCTCCATAAAAAAAATCTAATAGAGTCAATGTTCGCATATCTTGCTATAAAAAAATATCTCAGAATTTGGTTTTGTATATTTAATGAGTCACGTATAAGATAAGCATTCTTTAAATAGTTTATTATCAAAGTTTCAATGTATTTTACTATTTTTTTTTCTATAATAATGTCTTTTACAGATTGACGTGCACGTGAAAAAGAAAAAAAAAGAAAAGAAAAAGATGGGAGTTAGAAGATAAATTCTTTATACTCGATTAAAGATCTGAAAGTAAATAACTATGCTTTCAACGAAGAAACTTGAAATAAAGATTTTAAAATCACCAAATATGCAATTTAAATTCCAATATCTTCAAAGATATACTTGAACAATAAAGTAGATTAGTAATTCTTATATGCAAATGAACAATCGGAATAAGTATCATTATTGAAATGTTATCGATTTTTCAATACTGGCATGATAATGGCACTGCATCGTATGTACTTAGATACATTGCCATAGATATAATATATATATATATATATATATATGTAATGAAAAATGAAATAAGATAGTGAATGTATAAATGGTAATAAAAGCTAAAAAAAAAGAATAAATAAAAGGTATCCTCTTTGAAACAGACATTAAATTCCATTTGGCTCCTCACATGGCCCCTGCATGTTTCACACAAACACATATATAAAATATTATAGGAACTTTCTTTTGAATTTGAATGATATATAACTTTATTCTATGTATGTCCGAACAATTCTCTTTTTTAAATATTTGCTATTAAAATATTTCAATATTTTGAATTTTGTTTCTGACAATTACCTCTGAAATTCCTCTTTTTAATTGGAAAATAGCTCAGTTAAAAAAATTGAGCAAAATCTCTTTCTTTCCAGATTCTTTTTAAAGGTTTTAAATCTTTAGGGGTTTAAGGCTTTTTTTTATATTTTCATAATTAAATAAAACTAGGTTTCAAGAAATAGAAAATTTGTTAGCTTGATAAATTATCATACAAAAGAAATATAGACTACGAATTAATTTTTCATTTTGTGAAAAAAAAAAAAAAAGAACAACGAAATCGTGGCTAGTATGGGCTTTACTTGGATAGTGGGCCCAATATGGAGGCACTCATCGTCATTGTCTAGAATTGAACTACTGTTTGTCGAACAAACAACACGACGTTTTGCGGTTTTGAAACAGCACTACGTCCCGTTCTAGCCGCATTTTTTTTAATATCCGATTATATTTAACAATTTTATTTAAAAATAAAAGTCTATGTGTATAAGCAAATTTATGTCATAAAATCGAAGAGATTATTTAACCACACAGAGTCGGGCCAAAATTCCGAATGCCCTTATTTATTAGAAAAGAAAGTGTATACAAAAAATATACATAGACGTATATAAAATATTAGAACATGGCGACATGGAATTATTCAATCGGTATAATATTTGCCAGAGCCGCCATCATCTGAACCACAAATCTTTTTTATTATCATCCTCACGAATATCAGAATCACCGTCACTGAAACAACGATGATGATCCACGTGGTGAATCCCGGCATGATCTTCAGCAGCAGCAGCGGCAGGAGGTGGTGATGACGTGGCAATGGCGATGCGGGGAAGAAGAAGAAGAAGAAGAGGAGAATAATGGAAATGAATGGAGAATTAATGTAAGAAAAAAAAGAGAGACTTAGAGGGGTTTGGTGGGACGACACGTGTACGGAATCGAAGTATATATGTTTCATGTTTCTTTCTCGATGTATGGTAATGGTATGCATGCTCATGATGAATGCATGCGTGAATGAAATCCTTTTTGTCTTAACCCCCGCTTTGGATTTCTTTGCCTTGTCCCCTTTGAATAACCATATTCCATTTCCTTTATATATGCATTACTTTATCACAAAAAAAAAAATCAAATCTTTCACGTATCATATTATTATTATGCCTCCTATAATTATTTTATAATGATATATGTTTTTTCTTTAATTGAGACCACCCACATGTTTTTTGGTTGTCAACTTTGCGCCAAATTGGGTTTTGCTTCATAGCATTAATTGTGTAGACACATAAACACGTTAGATGTTATTGAATAAATGATATTAGAATTAAGGGAAAATTCCACTAAAATACCCCAATTTGTAAAAAGTTTCCATAACAATATACCCCAATTAAAATTTAGCTAATATATATTAGGTATGAATGACAACGAATCCCAAATATTAGACCGAAAGAGCGAAAGAATTATGAATAATAATTTGACGATAACAATATATGTTTTAGAGTATCTTACATGGAAGTAAAATATGAGGAAAATGTGGAATAATGCGTACGATACATTTTACTATGATTACAATGCTATACGAAATGTGTGCATGATAACTAAATCTAAATATACGATTGCTAAAACAAAAATTAACGAAATATTACGCTTTTGCAAATGAAAATTTGAATATAAATATACAACACGGCAAAATTTCATAGTTGAATGGGTTGAACTTCTATTTGCAATATTCGTTTTACTTTATTGTTTTTTTCCTTGTATTCGTGGATTTTTTTTTTATGCATTTTCGAGTTTTAATGATTTTTTAGTTATGTATATTAATTCTGATTTTTTAGATTCTAATTTTTTACGTTATATTTTTTACATTTTGTTTTTACTTTCAATAAAGTTCTTTGTTTTTCCTTTTCTTGTTTTTAAAGTTATTTTCTTTATATTTATCATTTTTATTTTAGAACGGAATACATACCAACAAAAATATCTTATGCCAATTTTTGTAATAAGATTGTATCAATTTTTATAATAAAATATTTTTACAGCCCGTTAAAACTCGCTCTCAAAATCCTTGAAACCAAACTAGAAAAGTATACTAAGTAAACAAGTTCAACCAAAAATTCATGGTAGGGTCCAAAATCCAAATAATTATAATAGCGACGACGACGACAACAACAGATAGATTAGATAAGAATGGAATGAAAAATGTATTATCGATTATTAATAATATTTTTTAAAAAAATATAGAAACTACTAATTTTATTTTTATTAGAGACAGTCATAAAATTAATATTAATTTTATATCAATTAGTTTAAATGATTAAGACATGATGAAATGTGATCTCGGTACCACACGTACTACTAAATTAGAGCCCCAAAGGATAGATATTCTATAAAAATAACGGTGCACGATGGTAAATGATACGACATTAATTAACATATGATAAACACAAATGCAAACTTAACACGATATTCCTGATACAATATAGAACAACACATACACCATAAAACAATAGGAAACATGGGATATACATACACACACACACATATATATATATATATATATATATAATATTCGATTGGCAATCCAAAGGAGGATAAAATGTTCCAATTCCATCGAGGTATAATGCGGGGTCCTTCATGTGCCTTGCATGGGAATATCGGGCCAAATTGCTGGATACCCTTTTTTTTTATTAAAAATACGAAACACACACACACACACACACACATATATATATATATAAACGAAGATAACATAGGATGTAATACGCTCAATCCCCGTGATCTTTTCCGTCATCTCCTGACTGAGAATCAATGATCCTGCTAATGACCGTACTAATTACTATTACAGCCACTATTACGACAATGATCAGCAGTATCATCGCGAGTGAGAACGGTATCGTCGTGAGCGGCATCTTCGACGGCGGCAGGAGGAGGAGGAGGAGGAGGAGGGGGTGATGATGACGTGGCGACGGGGAGAAGGGGAGAAGAATGGAAATCGAGGAGAAGGATTTGGTCGATAGAAGAAGAGAAGACGGAAGAGAAAGAGACGTGAGATTGATGAGACACGAAATCGAAGTAGTCTTGTTTCTTCTCAAAGCTCATGATGAATGCATGTGTGTATCCTTGTCTTAACCCCACCTGGCTCTCCATGTCTTGTCCCCTTCATAAAAAACCATGCATGATCTCCACATCCATCCCATATCTTTCTTTTTTACGAATCATATATATATATATATATATATATATCTTTATATACACGTATATGATACGGTTTTTGTTTATTAAGACCACCATGCACATGCTTTTGTCTGTAAAACTTTGCCCCGAAATGGGTCTGCTTCAATATATTACGCTGCGTATATATAAACATGTTACGTGTGACGTTTGTATCAAGAGGGGGGAAGCAGTAAACACAATGGTCACTTTTGTGCAAAATGCATGATAACTAAATCCGGATATATGATATATATTAGGTAAAAAGATGCATAAATTACCGTATAACATAAAAGGATGAAACATTAATATATGTATATGTATATGTATATGTATATATGTATATATACCATTCGAAGGATTTGAGGGAATCAATTTCGTCGACCAACTTCTGAAGCCCTTTGATGATCTCTTCCACGTTAACATCTTCTTTGAACTTAACAATCACCAAGTGTTTGAACTCTGAAGAATCTGGTTTTGTTTTTGTTACCTCACTCATCTTTTTTTCCCCTCACACTCTGGTGAGTGGTGTGTTGCTCATGGCCCTTCAATTTATACATCCAAAGTGAAAAGTAAAAAAAATATATGAAAATTGTTAATACATTTTACAGCACTGTGAAATTGTGATGAGTAAAAAGACATCCATCTCCCTGTGTATGTGTCTAGAGGTTATTTTTTTTTAACAAGTGTTATAATCATAATTTTTAATGATGCAGCTTAATCGCTCCTCGTTAATTTGTAAGAGGATAGAATTTTATAGTGGCATAGGATATTTGATATATTTTTATGATTTTAACCAACGTATGGCATATTATTATACAAAATATGGTTTGTCTTAGGAGTCGATATTTCAACCAATGTTTGATATATTATTACATGGTTTTATCCGTATACAATACATTACACGAGTGTATATTTACGGGGATCTAATAGGTAAAAGGATAAAATTACCATGAGTAAGATTTGGGGGTCAACATGAACAGAGGTTAAATCAGACCACACAAAAAACCCTTGTGACCTTATAAATTATTCCCACAAGCAAACACCCTTTTTGACAGATTCTTCTGTTTAGCTCTGAATTATAGAAAGCTACAACACATCATGTACCCGGTCCAACTTTTTTTTTTCTTTTAGAAAAATTTTGAACATATTTTTGTATGAAATTTTTATTTACACCATCTTGCAAAAAAAGTTGAATCATTTTTAAAAAAAAAGTATCTTCTCTAACGAATTATTGAACCAACGAATATATTTCTAAATCAATTTTTTGATACATATAGGTTTGGTATTATATAAACAGTATTTACCCAACAATTATGTAACATAATACACGATAAAAAAAATCTATAATCAAATAGAAAACAAACGTACCAGTTTACAGATAATTGGAGGGTGGTCAACATCAATTGAATGATACGGTTTACGTACTGACCCTCTTTTTGCATAGACGCACATGCATCTCTGACCCTATTGTCTCTAATGTTTGTAGAATGGTTTTGACACGCCAAATGCACAATATGCTGCCTTTGAAATCCACATTTTCTTTTTTATTTTTTGCAATTTCACCTATTTTCAACAGTGTTCTTATGTTATCTCTCCATACCCGTTTTGGACAAATATCCATATCAATTATGCCCATTTCTTTCTCTAATTCTCCATTTGAAAAAGGATATTCTTTTAAAAAGATATAGTTGAATCGAAAACGCGTAAAAAAAGACATTCATAGATGAATTCGACGAGTAAATAATGCACTACAAATCCAATGAATTCATACAATGTGATGCCATTTTGATAATAGGCACGGTAAAGGATCTAATGGAGGCTATTGCGGAATTCAATAAGAAAAAGGGATAATCGCCAAAAAAACCCTGTACTTTTACCAGGTCAATGAAAAAACCCTGTACTTTTTTTATTACCAATTAAACCTTGTACTTGGTGTGATTAATTCATAAAACCCTGTACTTTTAAACAATTCACCAAAAATCCCCCGCGAATGCCAACTCATCAAAAAATGATGATTTGGCAATGACATGGCATGAACACATCACAATAATTATGCCACATCATCATTTTAAATAAAATTTAAATTAAATTAATATATATACATACAAATTCACATATATATATATTGAATATATATACATATACATATTATTTTTAATATATATTATATGTATATATGTTAGTTATAATCATTTGATTTAATATCAAATAATATACAAATGATTTAATATCAAATAATAATATGCATAAGCATTTAATATCAAATAATATACAAATGATTATAACTAACATATATACATATAATATATATTCAAAATAATATGTATATGTATATATATTAGTTATATACATAGAACATATACATATATTACTAATATATATTAAAATAAAAGTAATTATAATTAACATATATAAATATAATATTTATTAAAAATAATATGTATATGTGTATATATTAGTTATGCATGCAACATATATATTATTTATAATGTATATATTAACAAATAATATGTATATATATTATTTATAATATAATTTATAATATATATATATATTATAGATATGCATATATTTTTTATTAGTTATAAGTAATTTTATATTCAATATATATATATATATATATATATGTATATGTGAATTTGTATGTATATATATTAATTTAATTTAAATTTTATTTAAAATGATGATGTGGCATAATTATTGTGATGTGTTCATGCCATGTCATTGCCACATCATCATTTTTTGATGAGTTGGCATTCGCGGGGGATTTTCGGTGAATTGTTTAAAAGTACAGGGTTTTATGAATTAATCACACCAAGTACAGGGTTTAATTGGTAATAAAAAAAGTACAGGGTTTTTTCATTGACCTGGGAAAAGTACAGGATTTTTTTGGCGATTATCCCTAATAAAAATAACGTTTCATTGGAATTAAAATTATAATAAATAAATAAATATAAATGGTACAGAGAAAGGAAAGTGGTCAAATGGAGAGAGGGGAAACGCAGCTTTGTGGGGACAATTAGCCGACACGATGGGCAAGGCAAAGACTCCCCCCCTCGTGCGTCACTGCATCTATAGAATAAAGTGTAGAGTGCACGTCTGGTTAAACCAACTTCACTCCATCATCTGCACAACCCTCCAAATTTAAATGATTCTTCAATTTTTTTTTAAAGAAACTATACACCCATCTATTTTTTTTTTCCATATTAGATTCCTTTCTATCTAATTCTAATCGAAATTCGACTTGACCCTTTTGATGGAGGGCATAGATCTTGAATCAGATGATAAAACACTAATGTAGCTGCCACGAGTGAAACCTTAACATTCGTTATAGTCATGTCTGGTTTTTTTTTTTGCCAAACTGTTCCTATTCCATTCACTTACCGATGTCTTCATGGCTTTGGATTTATCATATAAGTTTGTGCATTTCTTCTTGCTTCTCTTTTGTGATCAAAGCCCGAGCCTTTTTGAGTGTAGAGCTTCTCTTACGATGTGCCCTCCCTCTTCTGTGTTCCTCCCACTCGTGTGATCCTCTAAGTACTTTGTGCCCACAAGCCTATCATCAAATATACAAATCTTTTTAGCAAATTCCATAGGGGGGATCATGTTATATTATATGGGTCACTGCCTACAATGAGCATGAGTTCCAAGACAATGGCTCGTTACCTCGCAGACATATTGAGTCCATAGGTCTCTTTCGACTGATTTTCCTTTGTGATTCTCTGCATCGGAAACGGACGTAGCTTCTCCATTCAGGAAAGACCGGATGATTTCCGAAGCGGGTCTTACCACTTGAGCAGCCCACGATTCTTCGGATTTGCCTGGAAATGAAATCAATGAGAGATAGTAGATACACCAGTGTTCAATGTTGATTCCCCTAGTGGCTTGACGTATTTATCTCAGCCATTGAATGAAATTTGACAAGGAAACATAGAGACTGGTGCAAGAAAGAATTTTTGTTTACTTGATATGCTTTCCGTTGCATCTATGTAATATATTTTCCACCCGAAAAGTGTTTCCAGCCGACCAACCCTCCTCTTCTGAAACACAGCGTAAACATACATATAAGAGACGATGAATCAATGCTTTAGCCAAACTTAAATATGCTTCTACTGAGTGCTTGACTAGAAACTTACTTGACGGCGAAGGAGCCTTCTGGTGTTTAACTTGATCCGATCAATTGCTTCCTCTAATAGAACCCTCAATTTATTCTCTTTTGGAAAATTCAGAATATCTCTCAGGTTCTCCTTCCTAACATTATCATCCTTGCTTCCATTGACCCGTGAAACCGATTCCTCCGGGGAACTCTTTTTTCCATCAGAACTTGTGTCTGAAAGATAAATTTTAAGGAAATCTTCAAATTCTCTGACCCCTATTGCTTGCCTTAGACCTCGAGTATAGTCAGCCCCCGGTTTGTAAATGTCATATACTTCATCGAGAAGTCCAGATTCTACCATGCAATCTACCCTTTGTTCAACGTATCTATCCAGCACTGGGAAGGCAACATCGATACATATAAAACAGCAGTCGAGCTGCGAATTATCAACTCGGCCCCAGTTCTGCCCTGCCGCAAAAAAACAGCAGCCGAAACGGGAATCATTAACTTTCCAAAGCAGACAAGGCACATTAGGTTTCTTTGAATTTCGAGGTTAAAGAGAGAGGGACACAAGTCCAATAATAAACTCCAGTTCCGTTTATAAACCAAACTTGGATTTGGATTATAGACAAAAGCAACCCACCTCTGCAGTCTTTCCCTGAAATAATTTACTCGGAAGAACACACTGACGAGCATACAAGCTAAGGTATTGTTGAATCTGCAAAACGTTGAACCAGAGTAAATCCTAAATTAATAGAAAAGTAGAGCCATGTCGGCCAGTGGTTATACCGTCATCCTTGCAAAGAGGTAGAAAAGAGCATAAACTCATATCATTAGGCAATAACCAGCACAGCATGATGTAATATTCCATGCAGCTGAATTTTACGAAAAAACTAGAAAGGCAAGGTGTCATGAAACCGTGCGACACAAGAAGAGTCAGAGAGGTACGGTAAGGATCCTTGTTTATATAGAGAAGAATTGCAGATCAAAACTAGAAGTCTTACTTTTCTGGCGTTATTAGGATGAATTCTGTTTGCCGCCGCAGGATCAAGCTCTTTAAGAAGGTCATAGCCATGGCTGAGATCATCTCTTCCAGAGAAAGACTCAATATCCATGCGGTCATCATGCTCTGTAAGCATAACTTTGATGTCATCCATATTCAAAAATTTGCGGAAGTTGTCATGTAGATAGAGACTATGGGTACCTGGAGCATCATTCGAGCATCTTTCATCTGTATCTTCTACCGAATCGTCTAGAAGAAATCTACTCACAACAGCCTGCACAGATAGAATGATATATAAAAGAACTGTAGGTCGGAATGAATTAATTTCCAAAAAGATAAACCAGATAATACCAGTACTTCAAATTGATCAAAGAAGAGCAAAATAACATCCACACTACGGTCCATAAGGAAGACGACTTTCCGGTAATGTTAAGTTTGTTAACCCAATATGACAAGAAATTTGACAATATGCTGTTAAGTCTGGATAACCATTGACAACTGTCCAAGTATTTAACATAAGCGGATATAATATAATGACTAAACCAGCGAAATAAGAGCACGATTAACACAAAAGCGACATTCATAGGAGCCTTGCCACAAAAATGATGTCATGACTTCTACCTGAATATAGTAATTTGTTCCTCCGACAAGCACTGGCAGGTTGTTGCGAGACTGTATCTCTTCAATGAGCTGAAACAATAATTCCCAACCAAATCATTACCACCCAAATTATAAGTTACAAAAAATTGACACAAAGGCTTGTCAATATTACAACAGAGCAATGACTTATGTGAACATGTGAATTACAAGGGACACATTTGCGCTGAGACATTCTCAAGAGTGATACTATGGCATACATCTACTCATATGCATACAAACACCGAACACGCAGATTACATCTCATAAAAAGAAAAGGGAGGTGAAAAGGTTTGCAAAATGTTGATCAAGCGCAAGCCTTACACTGAAATTTGTAAACTTTGCCCTGCCCTATCATACAAAAGTGATCTAATAGAGTATCGTCCACATAAACTGAAAGGAAGAACACTTCAATGGCTGATTAACATACAACCTCTTCTCCTTAAAGACAATGGAACACATAAATCAAACCTAACAACATTCCTCCCTTATTTTCCTGAAATCTTAGTAAGCAATGAATACCCGACAGACTAGGATAGGACCAAACAGGTGTTATGCCTCTCATATTCGCGGAGAAAACAGTAAGTGAAAAGCTAACAAAAGGGTCTTCATTTGTACTAACAGGAATGGTGGAATCTCGGAAATCCTTAGCAGTGAACTCTGTATCTGGGCTCACTGTCCCGAGAAGATGATGAGGCACTCCTGTAACATAATCCCCAACGATAACCTCCACAATCAGATTCGAAAAAAATAAAAAATAAGATTGCGCGGATAAAAGTTGACAAGAAGAAATCGACAAATCATCTTCGGCGTAAATTCATCGATACAGAATACAACTCCGTGTCGAACAATAGAGAGCTACAAGATGGTATTTACACAAAAAATAATGATTATTTTATAACCTTTCTGCTCGTCGAGGGGAACCTTATTGGTAAGCACATCGAGTCCGCTGTAGACCTGCATGGCATCGGCGTTGATGATCTCGATCGGAAAATGAGACGCCAAATCGACAGCCAGCTTCGATTTTCCAGATCCTGTGGGACCCATTACCACCACCACCTTCGTTTTCGTCTTCTCGCCGTCGATTCCGCCATTGCTAGGGTTTAGCAGCACCTCTTCCCGCGAATCAGCCATTCTCGCATCTCCACACCACCCAATCCTCTCCGATTCGTTCCGAGTTCCGGTTATCAACTTGTCATAGTCCGAACCGGATTCAACCGATACCGGTTCAGAAGATTTAATTCTGCACCAATGTGCACGTTTCGTCTGGTATATAAACCGGGAAGAATACCAACTATAAAAGGCCCATTCTCTTTTTTGGGCCTTAAATGGGCTTTAATTATTTTGGGCCAATGTGCACGCTTCGGCTTTATTTTGCTTTCCGCTTTTCCTTTTCTCCGCCAAAGACCCCCCTTTTATTTTGGCGCTCTAGGGTTAGGGTTTTTCTGCAACTCGGATAGTCACAGAACTCAGGTAACACATTCTTCGTTCCAAGCTTTCAATCTCATCAGATTGCTTGAATTTATTGTACGAGGTTGCTTGTTCCAATTTGCTTCCAGTTTGTTGTATGTGAACTATTTTTTCGCTTTTCGTATTTGCCCGAAAGATTTTCCCTTTCTTTTTTCATATTAGCAATGGATTCACGTAGTATGTTTGTGAGTATAGTTTCAAAGAGTTCATTATTTTTCTCTTGAGGGCTTAGGGAGAACTCTCTCTGGGTGTGCGAAAATTTTAGTCTTTTGTTTATAGATTCATTGTCGACCCTGGATTTGAGCATTAGAAACGAATTTTTTCTTTAGCTGTTATTATTCTGGCAATAGTTTTGGGTTCACTGTGATTGATTCTTGCTATGGATGTAGATGGCAAAGAAAAAGGCGATAGTTGAGGCAGAATCGGACCATATGGGCGATATAAAGTCAATGTTGGATCAACATGCTGAATTCTTTGACAAGTTGATAGAGCTCATCCCCGCGAGATTCTACTTGTCTGATGATTCAGAGAAGAAGTGGTTTCCCGGTCTTAAAAAGGCAGAGAAGGAAGTGGCCAAGAGAGAGACGAATGAGAACATCAAGAAAGCTAGGAGAGATAGGTTGGACCCGGAGAAATCTTCTTTGACGACTCTTGATTTGTTGAAGCAGAAGCTGGAGAAGGAAAAATCGAGCAATGAAGTTGATGCTGACGATGATGAGGATGAAGAGAAGGGTATCAAGCCTATGATGGAGGGTTTACGGGATGACGATAGATCTGTTACATATGAGGAGCTAAGGCAACGCCTGCATCGCAGAATCGAAGAGCTTAGGGCTGGGCGTGGAGGGTCAGATAAACCAAAGAGGGATGATAGGAACAAGAACAAGAAGCAGATTCAGCAAAATAAGAGAAAGAGGGATTCGGGTTCTTCTGAGGGGAAGTCTGGGGGTGTGAAGTCGACCGATAAAGGTAAGGGTAAGATTGATGTAGAAGAGGCTGCAAAGGAACTCACTTTTGGTCATGTCAAAATTGGGGATGAGGAAGAGAATGGGAAAAAGAAAAAGAAACAAAAACTTTCAAAGGCGAAAGAACTTGAGAAGGCATTGAAATTGGAGGCGGCAAAGAAAGATCCCGAGAAAGGAGATATTATTGCAAAGAAACACTCGTGGCAGGCAGCTACAAGCAGAGCTGCTGGTGTAAAGGTTCATGATGATCCCAAGTTGTTGAAACAAAGCATTCATAAGGGAAAGAAGAGACATGAGAAGAATGCAGAGAAGTGGAAGGAGAGGGTAGAAAACCAACAGAAGATGAAGATGGAGAAGCAGCATAAGAGATCGGAGAATATTTCTGGTAGGATTCACGACAAGAAGATGAGGAAGATTGCAAAGAGGGAGAAAAAACTCTTACGCCCGGGCTTTGAAGGACGGAAGGAAGGCTTTATTAACGAAGGTGAAACCTAAAACCGAGATCTTGCATTGACCTTCTCTGTGTTCAATACTGAAGAATGTGGTAACATCTTAGTAATGTGGAAAATTCTTTATAATAGTCCGGGCACTGGCAATGTATGTTAAAGTTTCATCCTTTATTCAGTTGATAGACTTAAACAAATGATTCACATGCTTCTTTGCATTTAATACGTTGAACCAAGAATGTTCTTGGATGAAAAGAAATTTTGATACAGGTCAAGTTGCATTGCCGAAGAGGCTATTTTGCTTTTACATATGTTTTCACAGCTACAAAGCTCGGAGTTGTGAAAGAAGAAAAAAACATCAGTCACAAACATGATACAGACATCAGAACATGAAAGTGTGAGGTACCCAAATCTTTAAACACATTCTTGCTAAGGTTTTGCTCAACCAGGAAACAGTATTGATCTCAGAAACGAGATGGTGATCAGATGAATCTTGCCCTCTTCCTCGGCCGTGTTAACGTGGCGAAATTTCGATGCTTTTGCTAAGTTCCTCGAGCTTCTTCATCCGAATTCTCTCGCTCTCGCTAACCATCTGAGCAAAAACATCAAGCATTCAGAATCTATCATGCAGAAGTACACTATTGATTCATCTTAAATGGTAAAGACAGATGAGAGAGTATCTGCTCTCACCTCAACGAGCTTGCCAACAAGTAGGGCTTTTTCTTTGTTCTTGTCATTGTAAGCTTCAAGGGCTTCTTTGTATTCCCTCTCCTACGAAGAGAAAGGATTGCTATCCTGCT